TCGCAGTGGGCCTGGTCCTGGTGTTGTTCGGGGCCATCCTTGCTCACCCGAGGTGCAGGGTACGAAGTTCAGCGCTATATACACCAATAAGGGTTATATAGGGTTATATTGGGGTTATATTGGGGTTATATTGGGGTTATATGGGGTTATATTGGGGTTATATTAAGGTTTTGTAGGAGTTATATTTTATACCCCATAATCCCTACACATCTTTCTTTTCCAGTATAGCCCTGGGATGTTGAATTCATGAATTCATGTGTGCAGGTTCCGACGCCGGGTACAGCCAAGGCCTCGGTCAGGCATCGCAGTCCGCGCAAATCTGCCCACCATGAACTGATGCTAACTCCAAACTGCAGAAACTGGCAGCTGCTTGGCGCTAAGGATATCTCTTTCGCAGAGCAAAGCGAGTACTGTGGGATCTGGCCTGCACGAGCTTCTGGGTGGGCGTGGCATGGATGAGGCCTCTTACTGTACGGCCATTCGCTGCCATGCCGTTATAGTTCAGCGGCCTTTCTGCAGGTGATTGCTGACGGGCAGAACAGCTTCCGCTTCTCATCAACATGCAGATGATTTGCGTGTTCTGTTCCTGCTGTGCAGCAGCATGGGAGAGTCAGACTGCAGACTCCTGTCCTGAGGAGCCATTCCTGCTGACAGAGTCCGACACTCAGCAACGCTCACTTCAAATTGATGCCTTTTGACATCGTCATGTCAGAGCATGTCAACACTCTGACATGTGAGCACCACTGTTCTTTTGATGGAGGTGCACTTGGAGCATTTCATGGTGCCTGTAACGGGGCTTGGAAACTCCGAGCTCTGCGCCCTTTCCGACGCTCGTCTAGCACCAATGGGATACGGCCAGAAGTAAGTCATCCTGAAGATGAGGAACCCGCCCAGTTTGGCTTTGTGGATGCGTTCATCTCGCACCTTGATGATTCACTGTCAACAGTTCTGAGCCACAGAGAGCGAGTCATGCTATGCCGCATGTTCTTGTTGCTGATTTGCTCTTGAGGTATTCATGGCAAGATTCAGCCTCTGCACAGCAGCTCTCTCAGTCATCCTTCCATTCATAATGAGGGCGCTCAAAGCTGCATCTGTGATGAACTGAAACAGCAGCTGTTGAGCTTCCCCGATCTCAGGTGGTTTGCCATACAGAGATGGAGAGATGATTTCAAGCAGGCTTGCAAGATCCCTGTGTTCAATCAGCTCTGCTACTTTGCTAGCTGCTTCCTCCGAAGTGAGCCCCTGTGTTCAACGCGTGGAGCCCTAACTCCTTGGCTGGTTTTGGCTGCATGGCTTTGAGCTGCTTGTGATAACTCGAGCCATCATTAGCTCTAGAACCTCTCTTCATGGCGAAGACAGGCCCACAAGAGGGAGCCCCTCTTGTGGATTGACCGATACTGCCTCCATTCCTCCGAGGCGGAGGCCAGGTCATGAACCAAAGCATTTGGTACTCTGAAGGTTTGGCATGTGATGGTGGTGCTATTGACGGGGCTGCTGAAGCTACTGCTGGTGCGTGTGCTGGTGGTGGTGCTGGTGGCGGTGGTGTGCTGCTGTGCTGCTGGTCATGGCAGTGATCAGGGTGGAGGGGCAAAACAAGCATTCTCTACTCAGTTTCATACAGTAATGCAGGCAACAATAGCAATCTGCACTAGATAAGCAAATGGTAAGTATCAGAACACCAGGTATGCACAGTACCAGTATGGACAAGGGTAACTGCAGTATTTAAAACCGATCAAGTGGTCAGAGCAAAGAACAGCGCACAGTGCCTCTGATACCTGTTCCTATAGTGTCATTCATTTGCTTGCCAGACGGACAGATGTAATCCCCTCCCCTACGAAAAACCCGCGAATAGTAAACGCCCAAGATCCTGCCAGTATGGTATATGATCGGAGCGAATACGCAGAAGCGGGGGGTGGGGGGGCAAGGTTTACAAAGAATAGATACCCTATAACCCCTATATCCCCCCTAAAAGCCTTGTACTTTCCATGTTATTTTCCATTATCCCAATATGACCCCAATATATAGATTATAATCCCTCATATAACCCATTGTTACAGTGGTTTCCATTTTCTTTGCCATTGTCCCAATATAACCCCAATATAAACCCTATAATCCCCCATATAATCCATTACCATTATTATAGTAGTTTCCATTTTCTTTTCCATTATCCCAATATAACCCCAATATAAACCAATATTACTCAAGAGGATTGCCATTGAAGCAAGGCAGCGGCCATGATGCCAACCTATATAGCAGGATGCCAGAAGTTTCTGAGCCTGGGCAGAAAGGTGGGCTGTTGTGGGCTACATAGGGAACAGCCCAAATTATGACCATGTAATTTTGTGCTGTTTCTCATCAGTACTACCTAGATAGGACTTGTCTTGGTAACATACATACACCTAGATTTTCGGTTCCATTGCCTGCCCTGTGCCTCTGATGAGCACACCGAGGAGTCTGGCAGGTTCGCAGCACCTTGTCTTCAAGAAGAAGCATCCGACATGCCAACCATGCGCAGCATCAACACATAGAATACGCAGCCGAGACATGCGCACCACCGTAATCCCATGCGGGTAACCGTGGCAGAATACAGTGCAAAGGTACCTGGACTCGCTGCAAAATTTGGTGGAGCTGTTTGTCTTCGGAGAGCTCGGCAGGCACTGCATCACCCTGAAATTTCAGAGGCCATGACATCTAGATGTGATCAGGATGCCAGAAGAGCTCTACGAAATGCTTCTGCTTCAAGATGCAGAGAGTGCCTTGACATGAACACCTGGAGTTAGGCTGTTGTTCTAGGCTTTTAAACTTGGTTCTTCTGAGAACGGCATTTCAGCCTTGCCGTGGTGAATTGCTGTACTTGCTTGAGCACAACTGCAGGTCGCGGGCAGATGCATGGATGGATTGCCTCTCTCAATGTCTGGAATGCGCCACTGGCTTGCATGGTAGATAAGCTCGGAACAACAAGAGCAAGTTTAATCGATTTGTGGTGAGTGTAGCATGACAGCCACTACTGCTATTGCTCCTTCTCTTGTCCCGCATTCCGTCGCAGTATTTCGGAAGAATGTTCTGGCCAAGGCATGACACATGCGGAGCCCTACTGCGCGCTCGAGAGTCCGCCTCTGGCAGGGATGGGCCCCTTGGTGCAGCAGAGCTTCTCCAGAAAAATGATTGAAGCTGCCTTGCGTGAACCATGCGCAAACCAAGCTGAAGCTTCGGAAGACAGACCAAATCCCCAGTTGTTTAGCGAACGTGGCAGTTTCAGACGCGCTGCTACGTCGGATCTTACGTTCTGCCTGCCTTTTCGATGCTGAGACTGATGTATGAGCTGTGCTGCGTTGACGCTATTGGATCCAAGAAGTTGCATCCTCAGGTTTGAGGACAAGGTCAAGCGCATCCTCTACGTGGGGTTAGATCATGCACGAGTCCACAGAGACCCCATCACAAACATGTGATGAAAGTCCAGCAGTCTCAGAGGACTATCGTAGTAAGTGGTTTGCCATTTGCATTTTGCCTTTTTTGTCCAGCTGCCTCCAACATGGAGCTCCCATCTTCACACAAATGTCTTATGCTCGAAGGCAATGATCTGTCCTGATTCAAATGCCCCGTTTGCTCATAATAAGTTCGTCCAAAAGCAGGTTGCAGTGAGGTAGTCCACCAGCGTGAACTGACTTCAATAGAAGATGATGGGATCGTCAAAGCTGACAGGCAGCCCGAGCATAAGTGGAGATGCAGCGACCATTTAGCTAACTGTTTGGTTCTTGCAAGCAGCTTGAGTTGCCCAAGATTAAGGGTTTAGGTATATATATATATATACTGGAAAATAAACGGAAACCACGATAGTATATAGGGGTTGTAGAGGGCTAATGGAAAATAGAATGGAAATTACTATTTAGGGTCAAAGGAGGGCTTGCTTGCGCTACAGCTCCGACTTGCGCAACAACCGGAGACTGCTCAATCTTGTTTGGTCAGAATGCGGACCTGAAATCCTACATGAGGTTATGCAAGAAATTGCCGAAGGCCCAGCAAGCCATGTCAATAGAATTGTTCGAGTGCAAGAGCTCTGGGGTTTCCCTGCGCAACTTAACGAGTCCTGTCCGATACCAGCTTTGCGGCAGCCGTTGTGGAGTTTATTGTCGCATGGATGTTGCGCAAGCATGTTGGTAAGCGACAGAACCATTCATGCCTGGGAAGCATCAGCAACATGACAGGGCAGTCTTTGTTTCAACCGCTTTTTGCAAAGCTGATCTGAGCCAAGCCTCTCCTCTTTCCGTTGGATCTCTCCTGACTTGATTCTGCTGCCTCACAGGACAATACGTACTTTAACCTGCGGTGCCTTAGGAGGAGAAAAGGTGACGGTCAGCAAGGAATTGGCACGGTTTTCCTTCGCGTGCTGGGACAGTCTTTACAAGGAGGTGTTCCATCCGCGTCCTGTGCACCAGCACAAACGGCATAGACCTGGCAGGTCCGCTGCACCCCCTCCGACCGACTTTCATGGCCAAATAGCCTTGAACTTTTTCTGAACAACTTTCTTTTCTCGCGAAGGGCAGTGGACCCCCAGGGATAGGCTCGCCTCGTTCGCAGCACCGCAACTCTAGGACGTTCTAGGAGCCCCCGCTTAGTGCGGCCGGCCACACGCTTCCTAGCTTCCCACAATTACCCTAAAGCTACAACACTGTTCGTGCCACAAGAGCTAGGCCCTAGGAAGCCCGGAATCGACCTAGTACTGTACTGCCAATGACCACTCCGAAGTGATCCAATTTGGCGAGCGTTTGAAAAAGCATCAAAGGTTCCTGCTTGCCCCAGTACGGTCCTTGACTCATGTGCTTGGAAAAATGAGATCCTTGCCGTCTTCTCGGCGTTGCAACAAGTTGCTGTGTCGTACATGGAGCCTCGCTCAAGAGCAGATCATTCTTGCACTTTCCCGACCTTTCCACATAAGTTGGGCACCTGGCCGTCGCAGTGTGCGTGCCGGATTCTGCCCAGTCCAGCGTTGTGCTGAGGTCATGGAGGTCTTGGTTGAGGCCGCTAGCGAGGTGCCGCAGGGCTGCTTCGTCAGCGTTCGTCTTGGGGACAACCTGAAGCAGTGCCCTGGAACAATGGGTTTTCGGCATGTAAAGAGCCTGTGGCCTCAATGTGGAAAGTCAGGCGCCGCTTCGACAAGAGCTCCGCCAAGTACCACTTTCCGGTCCCAGAGGAAAAGCGCAAAGCCAGGATTGACGTCTACCAGCTGGTGGGCACCTGCTCCGTGCAAGTTGATCCGGAACCTAGCTTCAACTTGTTTCAAGAAGGCATACAGCGCAAAAGCCAGTAGCTACAAAGCATGCAGCATATTCTTTCGAAAGCAACACAGCACACCAGTGGACTTGAGCTGTAGCCTGTACCTCAGTACAAATGATGAACAGCATTCATCCAGCATCCTGATACCCAGGAATCTGCAATTACTGACGAGGCCGGATGTCACAGAGCAGTTTCCCTATCTAGGCGGACCCCAATATATAGACCCCAAAGTACTATAGTCCTTATTATAGGGACCCCCCAAAAAGGTATAGAACCCTTAAGTAGATAGAATATGGCTTTGGGTATATTATGATAAGATCCCCATATTATACCTTATGTTCTATCTACTTAAGGGGGACTATACCTCTAGGGACTTTAGGAGGGACCCCTAATAGGGACCCTTAATCCCATTACCATACATAAGCCTTCTGTAGTCATTGTATAACCCCTATATGATGCGTGGTTT